AAAGTATTGAGAAACTTTAGTTATTGACCAAATACTTATTTTCCACCATAATTTGCAAATAAATTCATAAAAAATCCTACAATGTGATTTTCTGGATTTTTTTTCTCATTTTGTCTGTCATAGTTGACGTGTACCTATGATGAAAATTACAGGCCTCTCTCATCTTTTTAAGTGGGAGAACTTGCACAATTGGTGGCTGACTAAATACTTTTTCCCCCCACTGTAACTGTCAATCTCCCTTGGCCTGGGGCTCCATGCAAGATCTCACCTCGTGGAGTTGCAATGATCATGAGAATGGTGAGGAATCAGTCCAGTACTACACGGGAGGATCTTGTCAATGATCTCAAGGCAGCTGGGTCCATAGTCACCAAGAAAACAATTGGTAACACACTACGCCGTGAAGGACTGAAATCTTGCAGCGCCCGCAAGGTCCCCCTGCTCAAGAAAGCACATATACATGCCCGTCTGAAGTATGCCAATGAACATCTGAATGATTCAGAGGAGAACTGGGTGAAAGTGTTGTGGTCAGATGAGACCAAAATGGAGCTCTTTGGCATCAACTCAACTCGCCGTGTTTGGAGGAGGAGGAATGCTGCCTATGACCCCAAGAACACCATCCCCACCGTCAAACATGGAGGTGGAAACATTATGCTTTGGGGGTGTTTTTCTGCTAAGGGGACAGGACAACTTCACCGCATCAAAGGGATGATGGACGGGGCCATGTATCGTCAAATATTGGGTGAGAACCACCTTCCCTCAGCCAGGGCATTGAAAATGGGTCGTGGATGGGTATTCCAGCATGACAATGACCCAAAACACACAGCCAAGGCAACAAAGGAGTGGCTCAAGAAGAAGCACATTAAGGTCCTGGAGTGGCCTAGCCAGTCTCCAGACCTTAATCCTATAGAAAATCTGTGGAGGGAGCTGAAGGTTTGAGTTGCCAAACGTCAGCCTCGAAACCTTAATGACTTGGAGGAGATCTGCAAAGAGGAGTGGGACATAATCCCTCCTGAGATGTGTGCAAAACTGGTGGCCAACTACAAAAAACATCTGACCTCTGTGATTGCCAACAAGGGTTTTGCCACCAAGTACAAATACTTTTTTCCCTCATTAAAATACATTAAATACAAATCAATTTATAACATTTTTGACATGCGTTTTTCAGAATTTTGTTGTTGTTATTCTGTCTCTCACTGTTCAAATAAACCTACCATAAAAATTATAGACTGATCATTTCTTTGTCTGTGGGCAAACGTACAAAATCAGCAGGGGATCAAATACTTTTTTCCCTCACTGTAAGAGCGTTGTGTCAGTAACTGAAAGGTCGCTGGTTCTAATCCACGAGCCGACTAGGTGAAAAATCTGTCGATGTGTCCTTAAGCAAGGCACTTAACCCTAATGGCTCCTGTAAGTCGCTCTGGATAAGAGCGTCTACTAAATGACGTAAATGTAAATCTTTGGACTTTTATTAATTGCTTTATTCTGTGTTGTTACAGTATTGTTGTTACAGTTGGTCCAACTCAAGGAGTCATAAAAAAATGCACAACCCTCCCCATCATAACAAATATTTTCACATAACCCTCCCCTTGTACTGAAAAAAAAACAATTGCACACCATCCCCTAGAATTAACTAAAAATACTGTTTTTACGACCAGAAACGACAATAACTGTACGACCCTGTGTTTATAAACGCGGATATCGACTTTGCCACTTCAGCATACTTTTGTGGCACAGTCGATGCCACACAGGGCTACGGGCCAGAAGGTTGAGTGTTCACCAGCCATCACTGACTAGCTCACTCTCCCTGCCTGTTTCATTAGGCCTACACTACGATCAGAGCCGGCTGCAGACAATGATCAGCTAGGGGGAAATCAGATTTTCAAAATTTTAATGCCGTATTTATAATTAAATAAAATATATTGAACAAAAATATAAACACAAAAATTTCTAAGATTTTACTGAGTTATAGATCATATAAGGAAATCAGTCAATTGAAATACATTAATTAGGCCCTAATCTATGGATTTCACATGACTTGGAATACAGATATGCGTCTGTTGGTCACAGATACAGTTGAAGTCGGAAGTTTACATACACCTTAGCCAAATACATTTAAACTCAGTTTTTCACAATTCCTGACATTTAATCCTAGTAAAAATTCCCTGTCTTAGGTCAGTTAAGATCACCACTTTATTTTAAGAATGTGAAATGTCTCCTTGCTCGCACACGCGTTTTTAGTTCTGCCTTCACATTTTCTATAGGATTGAGGTCAGGGCTTTGTGATGGCCACTCCAATACCTTGAATTTGTTGTCCTTAAGCCATTTTGCTACAACTTTGGAAGTATGCTTGGGGTCATTGTCCATTTGGAAGACCCATTTGCGACCAAGCAAATTTAACTTCCTGACTGATGTCTTGAGATGTTGCTTCAATATATCCACATAATTTTCCTTCCTCATGGTGCCATCTATTTTGTGAAGTGCACCAGTCCCTCCTGCAGCAAAGCACCCCCACAGCATGATGCTGCCACCCCCGTGCTTCACGGTTGTGATTTGGCTGCGTATAGGCTACTTACAGTAGGCCCATAAAACAGATAAGGACTTATCCTTAGTGTATGGGTCGCTCAGGTAGGTGTATAGGGTTGGGGACCATTCCATCATGATAGGACAATAAATAAACTATATTTATAATTTATTTTAAAATGTATATCCCATATCGGCACAAAATTGAAAGCTCTCTCACATCCCCTGCTCACAAACACACATGGGCTCTGGGATTTGCAACCATTATCCTTTTTCACTCACTTAACTACACACTTTTCCAAACACAAAAACACACACCCCACATTCCATCACAATACATCCGCACATACCCACATACTGTGCCTTCTATGTCCTCTGTTTGTTGTGTTTTATCTCCACTATGTTGATTTGAGTACTTTAGTTTCCTTATATTTGAAGTTGTATTATTTTGCTTATGATCCTTTCTTCTAATGCTGTCTTATCAAATTATGAAATATTATAATGGAAAGTCTAATACTAATCATTTTACAACATTCCCTATCTAGAATGGTATAGTGTAGTTTATTTCTTCAACAATTGTTATTATTTTATTGCTTTTCTATATATGGTTTTATTACAATCCCTACCATGGCTAGTATTGGGTGTTCCATTATTTGAATCCTCTATGGGAACTTTGTAATATTTAGAAAGGCAATGGAGTAGTCTTTGTGTCTCTGAACATTTGGTTATCAATATACAGTTTATCGACTACTAGAGCTACACGTTTCCCTTTTAATCTATTCTCCTTGAAGACTGGGTACAGAACTTTGCGCCGTTCTGCAATTTCTTTTGTGAACTGATCATTCATGCCAGCAAGTCCTTTACCAAGGCTTTTATCCATTATTTTATCTTTAAAGAAAGACATTTGGCAGCGACTGGGCGCTCAGATCTCTGTCCCGAAATGGTGTACATGTTCGAGTTGGATTTTGTCGACAGCTTCGCGTGGGATCTGGAGCGCTGTAAGGAGGAACTCCCTCACTACACCCTCAGGAACTTCTCCTTCTTTCTCTTGGATACCAGTAATGACCAGATTTTCTCTCATAGATCTAGTCTGTATGTCAAGTAAGGCTTCTCTCAGAAATATATTATCCTTTTTATGTTCATTAACGTGCATTTAATTCTGATTGACTGTCCCTTTTAGCTTGTTCTTTTCTTTCTCTATTGTCGCAGCTTTTTCGTCATTCATCTCGAGGCTCGCCTTCAACTCCTTTATATCTTTATTGACTAATTCAAGTATGCCCAGTTTGTCATTTATTGATTTTAACAGATCGGTTTCCACCCTTACTCTGTCAGTTGAGGAGTCACGTTTTCTTTTGGATGTCCTTGTTTACTCTCGTCATGTTTGGGTGTTGCTTGTTTTCGTAATATTTGTCGATACATTTCTCTAGCCTTATGATTTGTTTTGTGTTGTTATCCAGATTGAAGGTTATTACCCACCAGTATGTGAAATGCTAATATTTAGTCTAATTTACAGATATTGAATATTACGTTTTTATCTTGAGGTGATCTACACTGTGTTCAGTCAGCCATCTTTGATTGATATGTTGATTGATGTAATTGTACAGTTGTCCTTTATGTAATTTTTTTTAAATAAACAAAGTTCTGTGAACGATTTAAACAATAATATTTTTTATGTTCTTTTTTTCTCTCAAATTAAAGCAAATGTTTTCGAGATGTCACAAGCAGGACCCAATTTCATAGACAATTTCTAAAAAGTTTGGCCTATATATTGTTGTTGCTATTTTGATATTGTAGCCTTGTTAATATTTCTGTCATATCTCCAGAGACTTGCTGCGGCAATGATAACTGAGGGCAGGTGTGGTGTGACTGGTGGTATGACTAAATGACCTTGGTGCCCAGAATATCTGGAGCGCATGGTTGAACTCTCACCTGCATTTACTAAAACACCATGTCCAGCTTCAGACTATTGCAGTTCTCAACTCACACAATCCAACACCCCTCAAGACATAACATAAGAATGATACTTTGACCTAAAATGCAGAATTTAACCACCAGAGATTAAATACAGGTCAATAACAATATAGTTTACATTGATTTGTTACACTTATTTCAATGCAGAGGTGTTTCAAATTACAACAAGTTGTTGTTACACAATGTTTGTTCCACAGATTAAAGATCTGTGTATTGTGGGTCAAAGTCTCCTCTTTCCTCATAAACTGTCAGAAGTTATCTTGCTTTATCAATTAATGTTCTATCCCCACGATTTAGAACCGATAAGGGCTGACACAATAACTTGCTTTAGTCCAGTCAAAATGACCAGTGTCTTGACCTAAAGTGATGGTTTTACTTCATATTCTTAGAATCAGATATATATTTCTAATGAAATGTGTCTTAAAACTGTTTAACATTAACTTAAATAGGCACAGCAATGTCAACACTGGCTTAATTTAGATCCCTAGGCTCTAATGTAGTATGCTACCCCCCACACAGCTCCTTGTCAGTTTCCAGCACCTACTGCTGCAGAAGGTAACCTTTGTTCAAGTCTACTGGTGGATCGTTAACTAGCAATTTGACCCTCAGGTATGGGGGAAATTACGCAAGAGAGCAGAAAGACCTGAGTTGGACAGTACTGTCCCCCATACAGCTTATCAGCTGCTGTCCTGGGTGACAGTCCCACGTTTTGCACATCACGTCGAGGTCCATTCAGGTTTTCCCTGCGCTCTCTCCTGCCAAGTTGATGTCCTATAGCACCTGCCTCTGTCTGTCCCTGTCTGAGCAAAGTCTCTGAACAAGGTAGGATATTTGCTCTGTCTTTATTCAATAGAATGGTATTATAATTGTCTGCTGAATATTACTACTCTGGAATGAATTCATCAATTTCTTGATGTGTGCTTGGATTCTTTAACGATAGGCTATTTTTTTCATGTGCCAGACCACCACATCAATCTACAAATCACAGACAGCTCTTGCAACATGTTCCTACAGTCCTTGCTCACCTGTCAGAGTGGTGAACGGGGGTCAATTGTCTGTCTCTGTCTGTCTGTCAGTCTGTCTGTGTCCGTCTGTCTTGGAATACATTTGTCCATCTGTCTTGGTTTGTGAAATACATTTGAAACAGTTGGACAGTTCTTGCATTATTAACCTCTGAATATTTAGGATTATTTGTACAGCATCTACAGCAAAGCATTGACTGATACTGGGAGGTGTTAAGTTGCCTATAATTGCATGTAATTGTCTAACCATTAAAACCAAGAGTAACTGTGATTTTGACCTTTAGATTGCTTTCTGGTACTGATACAGTAGCTTTCACAGTATATATCCAATGTAATGTTTGAATTTCAGTGGCAAAGGCATGTTCAGAGTGAAAAAATTTGACCAGTAGCCTATAATAGCTGCATGCGTTGGTTGCCTAAGCTATATATAGATAGATACATGTGTTCAAAGCAAACAAACAAACATGACCTAGCCTAGATCTCAGGACATGCATGCAAAAAACATGGTCAAACTAAACTCAACCAAGCAGGTTCCTCGTGTTTTATTGTTTTGCCAACAATCAATCAATCAATCAATTTTATTTTATATAGCCCTTCTTACATCAGCTAATATCTTGAAGTGCTGTACAGAAACCCAGCCTAAAACCCCAAACAGCTAGTAATGCAGGTGTAGAAGCACGGTGGCTAGGAAAAACTCCCTAGAAAGGCGAAAACCTAGGAAGAAACCTAGAGAGGAACCAGGCTATGAGGGGTGGCCAGTCCTCTTCTGGCTGTGCCGGGTGAAGATTATAACAGAACCATGCCAAGATGTTCAAAAATGTTCATAAGTGACAAGCATGGTCAAATAATAATCAGGAATAAATCTCAGTTGGCTTTTCATAGCCGATCATTAAGAGTTGAAAACAGCAGGTCTGGGACAGGTAGGGGTTCCATAACCGCAGGCAGAACAGTTGAAACTGGAATAGCAGCAAGGCCAGGCGGACTGGGGACAGCAAGGAGTCACCACGGCCGGTAGTCCCGACGTATGGTCCTAGGGCTCAGGTCTCTCAGTTGGCTTTTCATAGCCGATCATTAAGAGTTGAAAACAGGCTCAGGCTTATTCTTTATTGTCTCCTGCTATGATGTGTCTTGTTAAAGCCTGCTTGGACAACTCATTACTTGATGGGTTGAGCCTTACTCATGTAGGAACATAGATACAGAATTGTATTTTTTTGTGTCAACCTGCTTCCTGTTTAGAGGTAATCTGTTAAAGGCCCAGTGCAGTCCAAAACTAGATTGTATATATATTTCCACACTATGAGGTTGGAATAATACAGTGAAATTGTGAAATTGATGATATGCCCTTTTAGTGTATGAGTTGTTTGAAAAGACCGCCTGAAATTTCAGCCTGTTTTGGTGGGATAGAGTTTTGACCTGCCTGCTCTGGTGACATCACCAGGCAGTAAACAGACCAATAAGAAATAGTTCCAATCCTCTCTGCTAATAACAGCTAGTTTTTAGTTTTCCCCTCCCACTTAGACCACTCCCAGACAGTCCTAGCAAAATTCTTGCTTGAGAAATTGTTCTAGCTAAGAAGCTATTTTAGTTTCTTTTTTACAATTTTTAATTTAAAACAATCCCAGTAAGGTACTTAATTGTTACCCAGAAATGATTTGATATTGAGATAAAAACATCTGCATTGGTCCTTTAAGAGAGCATAGAGATTCTATCCAATTTATGTATTACAGTTCATCGTTTTTTTGCAGAAATGTCAGTAAGCACTAATGTTTGCATCATTCTGTGCAAAAGTTCAGTGTTTACTTTGCCACATAACTTAGGCAATTGTTTTGCAATTATGATGAACTTTGCCCTAGAGACATTTTGACCGTAGTTATCTGATCTATCTGGTCGGATCTTCTGTTCTTTTCTTGTTGAAGTGGTGAAACAAAACAATGTCCTCATGAACCAGATTAACATTTTCTTTCACTGTTATGAGCTATGTCTCAATATTTTAACTGCTCGTTTGGAATTTGAACTGCAGTCAAGTGACACCATCCACCTTTCTCTCTCCATACATGTTTGGCAGCTTCTTGGCAAAATTGTATACTCAAGGCATGTCATCATTATGACTGTCATAGCTAAACTATAGCAGAGCCGTGTGAAAATTGTCTTCAATTTCAAGATACAAACACTAGATGGCATAATTTCACTGACATTTTTCATCATAGGCTGATTGACTTCATGTCAGAGATAATGATGAGGTATGATGGTCAAGTAACCCAACATGTTACTTTATGTGCACTTCACTACATGCTTTGGGCCTATGTTGTATTTGAGACATGTAATAACCAACATATTTACTATGTGTGTCTATGGAGATAACAACTGTACAGAACCTTGACTGAGATCTGCCTTTGAAGTAGGACAAAAAAGGTTTTTCAGCATAAATACGTGCTCTTTCTCAGTGTCACTTTCTTAGTTAAAAGTCAACCGTCTTGGTGTAACCTACTATATTTAAGTGAAAGATTGGAAAAAGCTCTGCAAATGGTTACAAGTTTTTGGCACAAACCCTTTAATTTCGCCATTCGTTATCAATCGAGCTAAGCAGCTATTGACACAACCCCTGACGCTGTCATGTTGCAATACCCACTCATATAAGGATCCAGGAGGGTATACTTTTTCTCTTGAATTAGTAGAATATCAGGAGCCTTTGCACAAACTATTTAGAGATTTTATTCATTTGATATTTATAGCTCGTTGATCATGATCAAGTGGTTTCTGCACATCTAATGTAGATATTTGACGTATTTTATTTAAGCATTTACAAGATGTCTGAACAAGAGGATTCCATTGTTACCAATGGGGTTCCTGTCGTAGAGAAGAGTTCTGAGAGGTATGTGGACTTATAGTAACCTTCTATGCTGAAGTACCAGTTTATTATTGCTGAATATTCACCAAATAATGGTACAGTGTTTTATGACTGAGTGTTTATTTAAGCATCTTTTATTTTCATATGCTTCATTCTAGTTGTGTGAGTGACATTCCTCTTGGCGAAACCGAACAGTTACCACCAGTCGCCAAACTCCAACAGAACAGAAACCACTCGAGTCCCCTCATCAATGGAGGAGTAGTGGACCATCCACAGCCAAACTCTGAGTCAGAGTCAGATGGAGAGTGCAAAGACAGCCAGGAGACAGCTGCTGTAGAACCTGCAGTGATAACCCCATCAAGCATACCTGAAGTACCAGCCAAACCACCCAGATCACCTGGACTAGAGGGACCTCAATGGGATCCTCTCTCAGGTAATAGCAGTTTATGGTGATCATAGGTAGGGCTAATAGTTTTTTTATGTAGGAGATGGACTCAATTTAACTGAAGCAGATCAGATGTTTTATCGCATGTAAGACGAACATGATTATGTTTTGTAGTTCATAATTCAGCAGTTATAAAGAAACTTGTGGAACAGTTTGACAGAAATGTGCCTAAAAGCATAATCAGTTCAGGGTTACAGTTATTCTGGTCTTCGAGGAAATGTGTTATTTAATCTATGAGGAAGAACATTTTTAACCTGTCCCCCTTTGCATGTTTTTGACCTTTTCTATTTAATCAGAGCCAGTTTCACCACTCAAACCTAATTGGTGGGTAGGCAGTGACATTCCATAGCTTCCTCTATTCTCAGAATCAACATGATACAGGCAGCTCAGTTCTAGTTAAGAGGGTTCAAATGGTTATACTTCACACTGAGACAGCGAATGAGGGTGTGGTAGAGATAGTCCAGTCTGATTCTCAGACATAGCCACACCCCCTGACTTCTGTTTTATTTAACCCTTATTTTACCAGGTAAGTTGACTGAGAACACATTCTCATTCTGTACCTACCTGCGGTCCACTGCGTTCTTGTGGGAACAGGGAAAGGGAATACTAGTCTGAGATTACTCCATAAACTACCACTGATGGCAGGCAACTGCTTCCCCTGCTGTCCCCGTACTACAGGTGCCTCGCTGCCCCTGAAGCTGTCGGATGTGTCTCTGGCCCCAGCGGAGCAGCTCTGGTGCACCTCCAGGGACCAGGCGGTCAAGCTGAGGATGACCGAGACAGGGCCTGGCTCCGAGGCCCCCATGACCGTCCACCAGATGTTCCTGGAGACGGTGGAGAGCTATGGAGACCTGCCTGCACTGGCATCTAAGAAAGACGGGCAGTGGGTCACCCTGACCTGGAGGGAGTATTACCAGCAGTGCCGAGTGGCGGCCAAGAGCTTCCTCAAGGTCTGTTTATTGATGTAGTTGTTGTGTCAGTGTCTGTGCTCTTTAGTTGCTCTCTGTTCTATGCTTAAGTGGAATTTAATCGAAAATGATCTCTCAAAGTTTTTCCGTTGCTCTATCTACAGTATGTTATGATGTACTTTTTGTACCAGGATGTGTTCTGCATTTTTTAGTTGCTCTATATAGACACGTAGGAGTATTTTTCAACTTTGCCAGTGAATTCTAATTAACTATAATGCAGATCTGTTAACATCACTGAAAATCATCTTCAAATAGGCTATGGTAGGGTTCCCCAACTGGCGGCCCACGAGCCGAATTTGGCCCGTGGGTGGTTTTATTTGGCCCCCAACATTTTCGGAGCAAAATAAAATTATATATAGATTATTATTATTATTACTACCTTTTTTCATTGTTGGAAATAAGACTGAAAAAACTCCAGGAAATTAGCGCCAAGTGATTTTAACTTAAGAAATCTGTTCCCAAGTACTCCCACGGATAATAGAGAGATGCATGATCATATTCAAATGTAACTAAGGTTTGAAATGATTATGTTTTAGTCAAAGATATCTGTTTGGGATTCTTGCAGTCAATTTGTGGTCTACAAATGATTTGTAATTATACATTTTTTACATTTGACATTTTAGTCATTTAGCAGACGCTCTTATCCAGAGCGACGTACAGTAGTGAGTGCATACATTTTCATACTTTTCATTATAAACTGGGTGGTTCGAGCCCTGAATGCTGATTGGCTGACAGCCGTGGTATATCAGACCGTAAACCATGGGTATGACAAAACATTTATTATCAGTGCTCTAATTATGTTGGTAACCAGTTTATAATAGCAATAAGGCACCTCAGGGTTTGTTGTACACTACTGGTCAAAAGTTTTAGAACACCTACTCATTCAAGGGTTTTTCTTTATTTTTTTACTATTTTCTACATTGTAGAATAATAGTGAAGACATCAAAACTATGAAATAACACATATGCAATCATGTAGTAACCAGAAAAGTGTTAAACAAATCAAAATATATTTTATATTTGAGATTCTTCAAATAGCCACCCTTTGCCTTGATGAGAGCTTTGCACACTCTTGACATTCTCTCAACCAGCTTCATGAGGTTGTCACCTGGAATGCATTTCAATTAACAGGTGTTCCTTCTTAAAAGTTAATTTGTGGAATTTCTTTCCTTCTTAATGCGTTTGAGCCAATTAGTTGTGTTGTGACAAGGTAGGGTGGGTATACAGAAGAGGGCTATTTTACCAAGAAGGAGAGTGATGGAATGCTGCATCAGATGACCTGGCCTCCACAATTCCCCGACCACAACAAAATTGAGATGGTTTGGGATGAGTCGGACCGCAGAGTGAAGGAAAAGCAGCCAACAAGTGCTCAGCATATGTGGGAACTCCTTCAAGACTGTTGGAAAATCATTCTAGGTGAAGCTGGTTGAGTGTCACGATCGTTACAGGAAGAGACGGACCAAGGCGCAGCGTGATAAGCGTACATTTTATTTCGTACACAACACACAAACAAAACAACAAAACGATACGTGAAGTCCTGAGGTTACACAACACAAACCTTTACGGAACAAGATCCCACAAACTAACTGGTGCCAACAGGCTGCCTAAGTATGGTCCCCAATCAGAGACAACGAGCTACAGCTGTCTCTGATTGGGAACCACCCTGGCCAACATAGATCAACACGATCTAGAACAAAAACATAGAAAACTAAACATAGAAAAATCCACACCCTGGCTCAACATTTAAGAGTCCCCAGAGCCAGGGCGTGACATTGAGAGAATGCCAAGAGTGTGAAAAGCTGTCATCGAGGCAAAGGGTGGCTATTTGAAGAACCTCAAATATAAAATATATTTTGATTTGTTTAATACTTTTTTGGTTACTATGGGATTCCATGTGTTATTTTATAGTTTTGATGTCTTCACTATTATTCTACAATGTAGAAAATAGTAAAAAATAAAGAAAAACCCTTGAATGAGTAGGTGTTCTAAAACTTTTGACCGGTAGTGTATATGGCCAATATACCACGGCTAAGGGCCTTATTGCTTAATTATGTTCCAGCCCCCGACCATCCGCTCAATAAAAAAATCGTCCCGCGGCTGAATCTAGCTGATGATCCCTGGACTATGGTCTATTTAGAATTTGACCTCAAGAGAAAGGGGATTATGAATGTTTACACATCAGAAATAATTTCCTTGTTCTCCCATTGTCATTTCTGTCTCCTTGTAAGAATGGTGCTGGTGAAAAACAAAACACTTGGGTGTGTTAGATTCAAAGCTTAAGTTACATCTCCAGTGTCAAGGAGAGGCGATGAAGTGGAGTAGTTTTCAAAGCATCATGTAGGTCAACAGTAAATGAGCCAGTGTGCCACATTCTTATTGATTATAAATGTTTCTTTCGGACTCTTTCTCTTCCTCCCTCTACTGTAGTTGGGACTGGAGCGTTACCATGGTGTCGGTATTCTGGGCTTTAACTCTCCAGAGTGGTTCATCTCAGACATTGGCTGTATACTGGCTGGGTAATGATAACAAACTTTTAACATGATTAAGATCACTTTATTGGTCAATTGTCCAACCGAAATGTGACATCCGCTTTTAACCCAACCCCTCTGAAAGACACACACAGGTTTTTGGAGAGGTGCTCAAGGGCACAACGGCAGGCCAATGTTTTTCCCCATCAGACCCGGGATTCGAACTTGCAACTCTCCGGTTACTGGCTCGCCTCTCTAACCGCTAGGCTACCTGCCGCCCCTATTATTATACATCTAGCATGCACTATCTTACCATGCACTACCCTGCACTATTGTTCATACTGTAAATGCTGTGAGACTTGGACAACCAGCTGCTTCCTCATAGAAAGTATTCATCCCACACAGCAATCACAGTCTAAACCACCTCAATAAGAAAGTTGTCTGATCTGATGTGTGTTGTGTGCCAGGGGCTTTGCTGCCGGCATCTACACCACCAACTCCCCCGAGGCATGTCTGTATGTAGCAGACAACTGTGAGGCCAACGTCCTTGTGGTGGAGAACCACAAACAGCTCCTCAAAATCCTCCAGGTGAGACCCCATAACACATACTGAACTATACTGTTGCCCTGGTTGTGTCTGCCAATAAAATAAAATAGAAATGTCTACAACTCTGGTGATTTAATTAGACGCAGAAAAAATAAGTTTCGATCTGAGTTGGATCTTCGTCAGGTCATACACCACTGTGAAATACACCTACTTAAATAACCTCTAGAGGTATGTACATCTGGTCAATTGACTATATCCAGTCAATTGAATACATATGACACATTAACATCAAAATAAATATTACACAGTAGACATAAAGAAAAACATTAATACATTTTGGTTTGTTTATCCATGTCAAGTAATATAGGTGTGCAATAGATTTTAAAAACGGGTGAGACAAATGCGTATAGAATAATATATAGAGAAAACTAAAAAATGCCAATAGCCATAGAACCTATGCACAGAATTATGCAAACATCCATCCAGAATTATGAAAAAAAGAATTTAAAAAAAGTATGAATCCAATACTGCGCTCTGTTTTATTTGTAAGTCGATCAAGTGAATATGTTTCTTGTTTTTGTGCCAAAATGATTAATTCTAAAATTCCTACTTTGTCCATACCTTTCAGATTAAGGACCAGCTTCCACACTTGAAAGCTATCGTTCAGTACAAGGATGAACTGCAACAGAAGCTGCCAAACTTGTACACTGTAAGTTTGCATCGAAAGAATATCTATAAGCAAGATCAAGTTTAGCCAGCTGGAAAAAAACATTATTTATTTGCATAATAGATAGCAATGTTAGTAGCACACAGTATTTCCTATAATTTTTCATGTCCTACACTGTAACTGTGAGACTGTTAATCCATTCACATTACTGAGAAAACTGAGCCAAGTCGAGCTGAACTGGGCTGGCTTTGCTACACATCCACCATAGTTGTTGGAAAGGATAATGTGAAAAGAAAATATCCAAGCCAGCACAGTACGATTCGGATTGGATCTATAATGTGAACCAGGCGTTACTGACTCAACCTCTGTCCTCCTACAGTGGGCTGAGTTTATGAAGCTGGGTGAAGAGGTGTCTGATGAACAGCTGAATGCTGTGGTGGACAGTCAGAGGGCTAACCAGTGTTGTACGCTCATCTACACCTCTGGAACCACAGGCAAACCCAAAGGGGTCATGCTGAGTCATGACAATGTGAGTAATGACAATGACATGACAATAAAAATAGGCTATTGAGGAAAAAGCTCTATATTGACATGTACATTTACTGTACTGCAGTATCCAGCTGGCTCCCCCTTCATCCTCACAGGATGTGGTGGCTCCCTCAGACACATTACAGTAGTACTATATGGTGGAGATAGCTCTGGGGCCACTGGGCACCGGATACAGTATGTGAAAGAGTCACAATTTTGTCCATGTATTGTTCACGGCAAGGACAAACAAAAACGTAGCTTATAGTTTTTCCTCTAAGTGGTGACCGACTCTCTCCTCAGATCACCTGGACTTCAAATGCGGCGGGCACCATGCCAGATCTGAAACATGGTGAGGAGGTGGTGGTGAGCTACCTGCCCCTGAGCCATGTAGCTGCCCAGGTCAACGACATGTGGATCGCCATGAGATTCGCAGGGGCGACGTATTTCGCAGAACCAGACGCCCTGAAGGTCAGAATCCCTAACTATTATACTACAGATAATGATGCTGTGCATTACTTTCCTTTCAAAATGCTATTTACAATGAGAACAATTGATTGAGGTGTAGTGGTTTGGTTTTCACTTGGTTGGGAAGGGTGGGACTGGAGTAACGGGATGTAACTTGATGATTTCATAGGGCTCTTTGGGGAATACACTGAAAGAGGTGCGCCCCACCAGTTTCCTGGGAGTTCCCCGTGTGTGGGAGAAGATGCAGGAGAAGATGAAAGCCATTGGTGCCAAGTCCTCTGGTATGAGGAAAAGAGTGGCAGACTGGGCTAAATCCATCAGATTGCAAGCCAGCTACAGTGCCATGAATGGGTAAGGATTTATCTCAGGTTCTTGTTGTTCAATCAAACCCACACTTCAGAAATAATGCAGATTTTCAGTGCATCAAATTTCACCCATAGACATGATCTTATCAACAACAATAAAATAAAACCATGTATCCTCACTCACGCCCAAATAGCATAGTGCCACTTTCAGAACTACTGGCTTAAAAGTATACAAAAGTAACAGAGAATCTCGTTAATCTTTTACACCATGTGTGTTATTCCTCCCTGTTTGTTGTGGATTCCAGTGAGAACCTGGTGCCCTGGGGCTTCATGCTGGCAAACAACCTGGTGTTTAAGAAGGTTCGCTGGGCCATGGGCCTGGACCGCTGCAGGAACTGCTTAACAGGAGCAGCACCCATCACTAAGGAGACCCTGGAGTACTTCATGAGCCTTAGCCTCCCCTTGTATGAGCTTTATGGGATGAGTGAAAGCACCGGCCCTCACACCATCTCCTGGGAGAATAACTTCAAGATCATGAGGTCAGCAACTAGAAAACTAGGATGTCCACTGCCATTTTTAATGACTGTTTACATTCATTAATTTGTAGTTGACAAAACTATCATTGTAATAGCAAAACATGAATTGATACCGATAAGCCATCAGATATAAAAGTGACATTTAATACCTTGCTTTGCGGTCTCACTGTATAAAGAATTGACAGAAAATATCATGATGTTGTCCTCAGCTGTGGAAAAGTGGTGATTGGCTGCCAGACAAAGTTAGACAAGCCAGACGAGAATGGGAATGGTGAGATCTGTTTCTGGGGGCGTCATGTGTTCATGGGCTACCTGAACGAGCCAGAAAAGACTGAGGAGGCCCTGGACCAGGAGGGCTGGCTGCACTCTGGAGACCTGGGCAAGCACGACAAGGACAACTTCCTGTTCATCACAGGGAGGATAAAGGGTATAGTACTTATTTATAGTTTATTTTCTAGATGTACAGTATATAGCCACTACACAACATGGCTGCCAGTGTTGGGTGTCGATGGGAGTAAGATGCTGTTTCTCCTAGACACTGATCTAAGGTCAATTTTGTGTACCTTCCCCTGATCCTAAGTCTGTGCCTAAGGGTAACTTCTACCTTGAGCCTGGATATACAAGATAATCATAGTTGAACATCATGTAGATCTATGATCTAAATATCTAGCTAAGTATGACATATCTTGTCCTGCAGAGCTGATCATAACAGCAGGAGGGGAGAATATTCCACCTGTGCCCATTGAGGATGCAGTGAAAGCAGAGACTGCCATCATCAGCAACGCCATGTTGCTCGGAGACAAGCTGAAATTCCTCTCCATGATGCTCACGCTCAAAGTAAGGCCTCAAACGTTAGATGTGGACTGTATTGCCAACTCCTATGTTCATTGGCATGCTTTAGAATTATTGCTTTAGAATTATTAAGCAATTAGAATAGAATTATACAGCACAAACAGATCTGGATCCAGGCTCTGTTCAGAAAGACTCCTGGATCACTCCTAACCTTTGACCCCACTCTCCCTCCGTAGTGTGTAGTCGACGACAATGGCGATCCGACGGACGAGCTGACCCCAGAGGCCTTGGCGTTCTGCCAGCAGCGTGGCGTCGTGGCAACCAAGGCCTCTGAGATTATAGCCAGTAAGGAGCCAGCTATTTACAAGGCCATTCAGGAGGGCATAGAGCGCGTGAACGCTAAGGCCCCCTCCAACGCCCAGAGGGTCCAGAAGTGGTTTATTTTGGACAGAGATTTCTCCATATCCGGGGGAGAACTGGGTGAGTCAATCAGTGTGAAAAATATATTTTTATTAAATTAAAGCTAGTTTGCTAAACTAAAGCTAGTTTTGTGACGTTACTGTATGTAATTTTCAATAGATAATTAGCTTTTTCATAATTTGACACACTTTTACAAAGAACTCTGAGAGTGAAGTAAATGTTTTGCCAGTAATGTTCATCACGTATAGTATCTGACAAGGCAGTCTTGTGACTGTTTCATACTAAACAACATTCCTCTGGATACCATTGCATGATATCATCTTTCTTCCATGCTGTTGAGTATGTCAAATGTGATTGGAGCACAAGAAAAAGAGGACACTCATTTTGAGAGCACGTTAAGTCTGATTGAATATCATTTCCTTCTTCTATATTCTCTCCAGGACCTACCATGAAACTAAAGAGGGGGGTTGTTGTCAAAATGTTCCAGGAGAAAATCAACGCTATTTATGGAATGGCACAAGAATAACAGAGGGACTCAAAAAGGACTGGAGAACATTGGACTGTTGTAGTTATTGACCTATTAAGTGCATCTGCTCCATATCAATATTTAAGCTGTTTTTATGTACATAAGATTACACAGCAATGATATTAGCACTTTTTTGTAAATATACCGTATAATCATCATCGCCAAATCTAGTGTCCACGACTGTGCAAGCAGTTTGTGCTTCTGGTAAGCTACTCTGCAAAAAGGAACTGTAATTGCAACCATAGCGAAAATGTCAAAGTCGTATCACTGTCATAGGCTTTTTTGTTTATTATTTGTAAAATATATGAACATGTTTGCAAAAAAACACTTATGTTCTCTCAACATGTTCCAGGAGAATCTAAAGACATACCAAGGGCAATCATTTAGCAATGCTATATTGTACACATCATTTTAAGTAAAGGACAATGATATCGAAACAAATGATTTTATCATTGTTATGTTTGTCAAGTGATTTCATAAAAATACTACTTTGAATCACAATAACATGGGTGATACACTAATACATTTGTTTGAATTTTACCCAATGCTTTTCCGTGTACATTAAGAAATATTAAAATGCAAATGTGTATGTGTTAAATGAACATGATCAATAAAATCAGAAAGGATTTAAAGCCATCAAGCTGTTCTGGACAATAGTTGTGCGGAGGAGGGGGGTTCTCTCACGTCACCCCCCTCCTCCGCACACTCCACTGGCTTCCAATTGAAGCTCGCATCCGCTACAAGACCATGGTGCTTGCCTTTGGAGCAGTGAGGGGAACGGCACCCCTGTACCTTCAGGCTCTGATCAGTCCCTACACCCAAACGAGGACATTGCGTTCATCCACCTCTGGCCTGCTGGCTCCCCTTCCTCTGCGGAAGCACAGCTCCCCCTCAGCCCAGTCAAAACTGTTCGCTGCTCTGGCACCCCAATGGTGGAACAAGCTCCCTCACGACGCCAGGACAGCGGAGTCACTCACCACCTTCCGGAGACATTTGAAACCCCACCTCTTTAAGGAATACCTGGGATAGGCTAAAGTATTCCTTCTAACCCCCCCCCCCCCCCCAAATTGTAAAGTGGTTATCCCACTGGCTATAGGGTGAACGCACCAATTTGTGAGTCGCTCTGGCTAAGAGCGTCTGCTAAATGACGTTAATGTGCCCTTGAGCAAGGCACTTAACCCTAATTGCTCCTGTAAGTCGCTCTGGTTAAGAGCGTCTGCTAAATGACTAAAATGTAAATGTAAATGTAAATAAAAGTAACTTTGGTAGTATCTTACATGCACCTTACTTGCTGCTGTCCAAGTTAGTGTCTGTTGTTTCACTGGAACAGCAATTACGAATCTCCTCATCAGAGAACAGTGCCAGTGATGTGACAGCTATGACTTGATAGAAACCATTTGTGAAGAGGCTTTATACTCCGGAAATATAATTACCATCGGAGGTTCTGCTGAGCTAGCTACATACAGTGCATTCGGAAAGTATTCAGACCCCTTGACTTTTTCCACATTTTGTTACGTTACAGCCTCATTCTAAAATGGAATAAATTGTTGTTTTTCTCTCTCATCAATCTACACACAATACCCCATAGTGACAAAGCAAAAACAGGTTTTTATTAATTTTTGCAAAATTATAAAAAATTAAACACTGAAATATCAAATTTCTATAAGTATTCAGACACTTTACTCAGTACTTTGTTGAAGCACCGTTGGCAGAGTATTCAGGACCCTTCCCCTTTTCCACATTTTGTCACGTTACAGCCTTATTCTAAAATGGATTTAAAAAATAATAATCTTCATCAATCTACACACAATACCCCATATTGACAACGTGAAAACTGGTTTTTAACATTTTTGCAAATTTATTAAAAATAAAAAACAGAAATACCTTATCTGACACACAGTACCAGTCAAAAGTTTGGACACACCTACTCACTCAAGGATCTTTCTTTCTTTTTTACTATTTTCTACATTGTAGAATAATAGTGAAGACATCAAAACTATGACATAACACTTATGGAATCATGTAGTAACCAATAAAGTGTTAAACAAATCAAAATAGATTTTATATTTGAGATTCTTAAAATAGCCACCCTTTGCCTTGATGACAGCTTTGCACACTCTTGGCATTCTCTCAACCAGCTTCATGAGGTAGTCACCTGGAATGCATTTCAATTAACAGGTGTGCCTTCTTAAAAGTTAAATTGTGAAATTTCATTCCTTCTTAATGTGTTTGAGCCAATCAGTTGTGTTGTGACAAGGTAGGGGTGATATACAGAAGATAGCCCAATTTGGTAAAAGACCAAGTCCATATTATGGCAAATAAGCAAAGAGAAACAACAGTCCATCATTACTTTAAGACATGAAGGTCAGTCAATAGGGAACATTTCAAGAACTTTGAAAATGTCTTCAAGTGCAGTCGCAAAAACCATCAACCCGTTATGATGAAACTGTCTCTCATGAGGACCGCCACAGGAATGGAAGACCCAGAGTTACCTCTGCTGCAGAGGATACGTTCATTAGAGTTACCAGCCTCAGAAATTGCAGCCCAAATAAATGCTTCACAGAGTTCAAGTAACAGACACATCTCAACATCAACTGTTCAGAGGATACTGTGTGAATCAGGCCTTAATGGTCGAATTGCTGCAAAGAAACCACTACTAAAGAACACCAATAAGAAGAAGAGACTTGCTTCGGCCAAGAAACACAAACAATGGACATTAGATCGGTGGAAATTTGTCCTTTGGTCTGGAGTCCAAATTGGAGAGTTATGGTTCAAACCGCTGTGTCTTTGTGAGACGCAGTGTGGGTGAACGGATGATCTCCGCATGTGTATTTCCCACCGTAAAGTGTGGAGGAGGAGGTGTTATGGTGTGGGGGTGCTTTGCTGATGACACTGTCTGTGATTTATTTAGAATTCAAGGCACACTTAACTAGCATGGCTACCACAGCATTCTGCAGTGATACACCATCCCATCTGGTTTGGGCTTAGTGGGACTATCATTTGTTTTCAACAGGACAATGACCCAACAAACCTCCAGGCTGTGTAAGGGCTATTTTACCAAGAAGGAGAATGATGGAGTGCTGCATCAGATGACCTAGCCTCCACAATCCCCTGACCTCCACCCAATTGAGATGGTTTGGGATGAGTCGGACCGCAGAGTGAAGGAAAAGCAGCCAACAAGTGCTCAGCATATGTGGGAACTCCTTCAAGACTGTTGGAAAAGCATTCCAGGTGAAGCTGGTTGAGAGAATGCCAAGAGTGTGCAAAGCTCTCATCAAGGCAAAGGGTGGCTATTTGAAGAATCTCAAATATAAGATATCTTTTTTATTTGTTTAACACTTTTTTGGTTACTTTTTGGTTACAAATTTTCACATTCTGTCATAAAGAGCACATGTTCAACTTAATAAAAAAACTAGTTTTCCCATCTCAAGAAAAAAAGGACTATAGTAAGAACCTTTTGTCAACTACACACTGCAGAATGCTGACCTACTTTGGTTAACATTTGTTCATTATTATGTTCAAAATGTGTTTACGTATTACAGTATTCAATTAATCATTGAATTAATAATAGCTGACTATCATTAATGAATAACTGCAAAATAGAACATCTATTTTACACCATATGAAAAACTTGTACACACATATTATTTACAGTTTATGATACTGTAATGCCCCCATGTGGTAACAATCATTGATTCTAGTAAAAATAACATGCTGATGCACACCCATATTTTTTTTGAAGAGGTGCTGACTAAAGTAAGTAAACTGTGTAAAAATAATTACAACTCTGAAGAAGGCACTGCGTGGCGGAACATTGGTTATACCCATTAAATTGTTGGGATCATATTTAGAGAGTGCAACTTAATTTTTATAACAATCATTTATGACAATTATGGATTGATTGATTCGGCATGCAGGCCTTATGTTTGACACCATAGCCCTATACCTTCAATGACTCATTCTACCATTTTAAATATTTGCTTAATTCAACTCACCCAAATGTAGCTTGTGTCTTTATAGGGTCAAATAAACAAACTATGCTGCACATCACAAATGGATTAATTGTGTGAATAAAAACATTGAAACAATTGGTTGAATCCAGTCTAAATACATTTAAGGTAACTAAAGGGGGTGCTCCTAATCGCAGCTTGTTACCTGTATAAAAGACACCTGTCCACAGAAGCAATCAATCAATCAGATTCCAAACTCTCCACCATGGCCAAGACCAAAGAGCTCTCCAAGGATGTCAGGGACAAGATTGTAGACCTACACAAGGCTGGAATGAGAAGGTGACAACAGTTGGTGTGATTATTCGCAAATGGAAGAAACACAAAAGAACTGTCAATCTCCCTCGGCCTGGGGCTCCATGCAAGATCTCACCTCGTGGAGTTGCAATGATCATGAGAACGGTGAGGAATCAGCCCAGAACTACACGGGAGGATCTTGTCAATGATCTCAAGGCAGCTGGGACCATAGTCACCAAGAAAACAATTGGTAACACACTACGCCGTGAAGGACTGAAATCCTGCAGCGCCCTCAAGGTCCCCCTGCTCAAGAAAGCACATATACAGGCCCGTCTGAAGTTTGCCAATGAACATCTGAATGATTCAGAGGAGAACTGGGTGAAAGTGTTGTGGTCAGATGAGACCAAAATGGAGCTCTTTGGCATCAACTCAACTCGCTGTGTTTGGAGGAGGAGGAATGCTGCCTATGACCCCAAGAACACCATCCCCACCGTCAAACATGGAGGTGGAAACATTATACTTTGTGGGTGTTTTTCTGCTAAGGGGACATGACAACTTCACCGCATCAAAGGGACGATGGACAGGGCCATGTACCGTCAAATCTTGGGTGAGAACCTCCTTCCCTCAGCCAGGGCATTGAAAATGGGTCGTGGATGGGTATTCCAGCATGACAATGATCCAAAACACACGGCCAAGGCAACAAAGGAGTGGCTCAAGAAGAAGCACATTAAGGTCCTGGAGTGGCCTAGCCAGTCTCCAGACCTTAATCCCATAGAAAATCTGTGGAGGGAGCTGAAGATTCGAGTTGCCAAACGTCAGCCTCGAAACCTTAATGACTTGGAGAAGATCTGCAAAGAGGAGTGGGACAAAATCCCTCCTGAGATGTGTGCAAACCTGGTGGCCAACTACAGGAAACATCTGACCTCTGTGATTGCCAAAAAGGGTTTTGCCACCAAGTACTAAGTCATGTTTTGCGCAGAGGGGTCAAATACTTATTTCCCTCATTAAAATGCAAATCAATTTATAACATTTTTGACATGCGTTTATCTGGATTTTGTTGTTGTTATTCTGTCTCTCACTGTTCAAAAACACCTACCATTAAAATTATAGACTGATCATGTCTTTGTCAGTGGATAAACGTACAAAATCAGCAGGGGATCAAATATTTTTTTCCCTCACTCTATGTGGTTCACTAACCACCTGACATAATAGAGAAAAAAGCAATTTTATGGTAGGCTGTCAGGCCCAGGTTCACATTTCATGAAACCTCTAACAAAAACAGTGCTGCTGCATGCAAGACAGAGAAATGTAAAAAGCATACAACTGGTACTCAGACAAGACATTAGATTATTGACCTATAATTTCTCATGTTGCACTGTCAGTTTTGCTGGGTTACTGACGATGGCAGTGAC